TAACGAATTGCTCATTCTTCGACTAGCCAAATTAAAGATCTCGGCATCACTGAATTACCGAAGAGCAGAACTTCAGATAATCGAATCGAGGATTTCCAGATCACTGAAAATATTACGGCAAAGTTACTGACTTGCTCATCACCAGATCACAAATTTTTAAATCGCTAAAAACCCCATCTTGACCCCTCTACTAGAAAAGCGTCCGAACTGCAATGCCGAATGGTCAGATCTTGGGATCTTTGAATCAAGAATCTCAGGATCACCTAAGTTATTACTGTCGAATTGCTGACTCGTTGGTCACCAGATTGCGAATTTTTGGATTTCCGAATAACTCGATCCTCAGCTAGTCGAAACGAGGATAGTTGGATCAGTGAATTGCCGAAGAGTAGGATCTTCGGATCTTCGAATCGAGGATCTCTGGATCACGCAAATTGTTCTGTCGAATCGCCGACTTGCTGATCATCAGATCTCGGATTGCTGGATCCCTGCATATCCCGATCCTTGACTCATCGAATCAAGGATTGCAGGATCAGTGATCTGCCCATGAGTCAGATCTTTGGATCTTCAAACCGAGGATTTCCGATTACTGAAACTATCATCGTCGAAGTGCCAACTCATTAATCACCAGATTGTGGATTGTCGGAACGCGAATAGACCGATCTTCGACTCGTAAAATCAAGGATCGTCGGATTAGTTAATTGCAAAAAGCAAGATCTTCTAATCTTAGAATAGAGGATACCTGGATCACGCAAGTTTTTCTGCTGAAGTGCTGACTCACTAATCCCTAGATCGCGGATCGCTAGATCGACGAATAACACCATCTTCGTCGAATCGAGAATGACCAGATCAATGAAGTACCGAATAACCAGCCTCTCGGATCTACGGATCGAGGATCTCTGTATCATCGAAACTATATCCCCTAATTGCCGACTTACTAGTCACCAGATCTCCGATATTTGGATCAATGAATACCCCTCGACTAATCGAATCGAGGAATGCCTAAACCGAATTTCTAAAGAGCGAGATCTTCGGATCTTTGAATTATGAATCTCGAGATCACCGAATGTATTTCTGTCGATTTGCCGATCCGCCAGTCACCAGATCATGAATTGCTGAATCGTCGAATCGCCAGACCCTTCACTCGCCGACTCGTGGATCGTCGGATCACTGAATTGCCATAGAACCAGATGTTAGAATCTTCGAATCGAGGGTCTTTGAAGCATCGCAACTCACAGATTGCTGGATCACTTTTTGACTCGTCCAATGTTGGCTAGTCGGATCACTGAATTTCCGAGTAGTCAGATTTGCAACTCCTGGAATTGAGGATCTCCGGATCATCGAAACCATTAGCGTCAAATCGCTGACTTGCCAGCCACCAGATCGCAGATTGTTGGACTGCTGAAGATCCCTTATCATCATCCTTACATCCGGCATCTCCGGATCCCTGAACCCACGTAGACCCACGGCTTCAGAGCTTCGGTTCATCGCATCCAGAAGCTGTGAATCGCCAAAGTGCCTCATTTGCGACTGGCCAAATCGCCGTTTCCTCGAAGCATCATCTACATTTGCCCACCCTTTGAAGGTACCGACGACTGCTTCGACGAGGCATTTGGTACAATCTGTCTGGCTGGTGTGATTGTGCGGCTGACTGTGGAAGTCTGATGCTCCTGCGGGGTGGGCGGTGCATTTGGCGAGTGGTCATTTGTTGGGAGAAATACAAACGGAGGCTCGACCGTCCTCATCGGTTGTCGGTCAGTGGTGCAGTCGCTTTCACTTGCCCACTTTTGCTGCGTCTGTCCATTATTGCCTCTGCCTAATACTCAACTTGGGGCTTGAATACGTCCAGGGTCGTTCCATTCTCCGGCAGTCCTGGTGGAAGGAGTACGCACACAGACAGACAGACAGGACCATCGAGGGGTGGCCGAGCCCCGGTACCAAGTGCTGGTACCAATTGATGCCGGCCGAGCGGGCGAAACGACAGAGCCGCCGTTTCCTGTTCAACCGGTACAGCAATTTCCGGTTCTCTAACAGGCCTCCTGGCCCGGTTGGCCGGATTGGTCGGTTGACGACCGCCTCTGTCCCTTCGGGTCGATGTGGAGGACCGGCGAACGATTGGACGGTCTGGAGGCAGCGCCAACTCGTGTCTCCGCGGTGCTATTGTAGAGACGGTCGGCTGCCTCGCCGGTGGGCAATTAATCCGGCGAGACGAGATGGGCATCTGCCGGACTCTGGCGAGCCGACCGGTTGGGCGGTTGGGCGGTCGGGCGGTGCTGACTTGGCAACTTGGCCGGGCTGGTGGCAGCAAGACGAGGGTGGGAGAGTGGTTCAGTCGTCTGAGCCAAACCCACCACTCTTGTCAGCCTGTCGTCGCGACGGTCCGAGTAGTTGTCAATTAATTGTAATGCGCTAATTGTGCTCCACCAACACACACATTGGCCGGCCCAAATCATACAAGAGTGTGCTTTGGATTGTGAATAAGCCGCCAACTCAGACAGACATGTGTATACGAGTGATGGAATGGAGTTACAATTTAGAGCACTCTATTGGGGCGTCAGAATGACATGCATTTTTCCTTCTAATGAATCAAATTGCAAATTAATCACATACAAAATAAAAAGGAGACATTAATGAAAAAAGAAAAGAAATCCTCA